GGTACTGGGGATCAAACTTGGGTCTTTGTGCTTATGAGGCAGGAAAGCGACACCACTGAGCTAAATCCCCGGCCCTGTCCACTTTAATTAGTTTAAATCTTGGTTCTAAAGTGTACAGAAATACCCAAAGGAGCCAGGCGTGTCACACACGCCTGTAATCCCAGCACTCTGGAAAGCTGAGGCAGGAAGATGGAAAGTTCAAGCCTGTTGAGTTCAGTGAGTTAGGGAGACCTTGTCTCAAAATTAAAAATAAAAAGGGCCGGGAAGGCAACTCAGTGTAAAGGCCCTAGGTTCCATTCCCAGTGCTGCCAACAAAACAAAGTAAAACATAACCCAACACAACACCCAAAGGATGAGAGGGAGGGAGAAGCACTGCAGAAGCTGGCTGAGGACAAGGGTAGGAAGTGGAGGTGCCGGGGCAGGGTTACCCCTCCACCCCCGTGTCCGCGGGACCTGGGGCTGCTGCGGGCTTCAGGTGGCCAAGCCAGGACCACAGGTGACAAGGGGCACGGGCCAGGGGCATGGCTCAGGGCTGCCCCTCAAGGTCCCAACACTGGGAGTGGCACGGCCAGTTCCCAGGGGTCCTGGGGGCTGAGATCACAGACTGCAGTCTCTCACCCCGCCTGCCAGCTGGGCACTGGTCCTATTTCCAGATGAGGTGCCTGGGACAGGGACAGCCACAGGGACAGGTGGGGAGCCCAGGTATGGGGCCTGTAGGGGATGCCCCTGCTATGCTGGGGCCAGAGGGAAACTTGTCCCGTGGGTTCCTTAAAATTAACATTACCGAGTGTGGTAGCACACACCTGTAGTCCCGGCACAGGAGGCTGAGGCAGGAGGAGCCCAATTTAGAGGTCAGCCTGTGTGATTTAGTGACTTAGTCAGATTCTGCCTCCAAATAACACAGAAAGGAGAGCTCTGGACCACACAAGAGAAAACCAGAAAGAGCTCTGTGAGGGTGGAGGACTTCTAGACCCACAGCCTGAGAGCAAGCCCTGGAAACGTTAGCCCAGAGAAATGCTCGCGGCAGATGCTACCCACAGATGCTGTCATTGTCTACTGCTGCTGGGGCAGTCCCAGGGGACCTCTTGGTGCATTAGTGTCTAGAAGGCTAACTTCCTGGTGAGCCTTTGGTGACTGACTTTTGTTCAATGCCCTCCCCCCTACTCCCCAGGTCCCACCAAAAAAAACCTTTGCTTTTATTTGTTTTTGAGATGACTCTTGCTCTGTAGTTCAGGCTGGCCTTGAACTCACTATGTAGCCCAGGCTGGCCTCAAACTCACAGGGATCCTCCTGCCTCAGCCTCCTGAGTGCTGGGATCTCAGGCATGCATTCAAGTCTCAGGGCTGCCTTTTCCCAATTGTATGACTGGCAATGCCTGTGCCTCAGTTTCTATTTTTTTTTTTGAGACAGGTCTCACTATGTAGTTGAGACTGACCTGGAACTCACTATGTAGCCAAGGCTGGTCTCGAACTCACAGCAATCCTCCTGCCTCAGCCTCCTGAGTGCTGGGATTACAGGCGTGCGCCACCATGCCCAGCTAGCTCATCAGTTTCTCTCACTGTAAGGTGGGGATATGGAGAAGCTGCCTAGGATTCACAAGGCCTAACTCATGCTAAGAACTCAGGGGGTGTGCACAAGTGCCTTTCAAAGCTCTGGGGCTGTGCCACTTCTGTGCCTCAGGGGGCCAGGGGTCCATTAGTAGCTGTGCACTTGGAATGATTCTGCTTGGAGTTGCCTGCCTCTCTCAACATTTTGGGGGGACAGATCTCACTATATAGCCCATGCTGGCCTCAAACTCAAGATCTTCCTGCCTCAGCCTCCCGAATGTTAGGATGACAAGTGTGCAACTCCATCCCAGGGTCCCCTTCTGTCTTGACTGGTCAGGCCCCGTCCTGGCCCTTGAGGCTGCTCTGGTCTCTGGAGTTGTCTGGGCCTGAGTCAGCCAGGACCCCATCACTTGGGGAAGATAGGGTGGGTGGGTGGCAGGGGCCCTGGTGGCGAAGCTCTCGAGCTCTGCTCCCGGTCAGGGGCCACGTTGCTGGTGTCCTGAACAATGAAGTCCCTGTTCTGGGCTCCTTCCCACCCCCTCCCCATGAAGGGCTGCTGTGGTACCTGGTGGGGGTGAGTGGCTTCCTCCCCTACAGCGCAGCCACCACACAAGACTAAACCCAGGGGCGCCCCCCATTGAATGGCATCACACCCTGCCTTTTTTATTTTTGTCTTTTATTCCAAGACAGGGTCTCACTAAATGGCCCAGGCTGGACTGGACTCAAATCTGTAATTCTGCCTCAGCTTCCCTCAAGATTACAAGTGTGTACCACTGGGCTCAGCTCTCTGGCTGGCTCTCTCTCTGTACTACGGGTTGAAAACAGGGCTTCTGTATTGAGCTGTATCCCTAGTCCTTTTTAAATTTGGAGTCTTTTTTTTTTTTTTGTACCTGGGATTGAACTTGGGACCTTGCCCTTGTGAAGCAGGTGGCGGCACCACTGAGCTAAATCCCTGGCTAAAGCCAGGTTTCAAGTCTTTTTTTTTATTTTTTTTTTTTTTTTTTAAAATTTGAGACAAGGTTCCCCCAAGTTATGCATGAGGGACTGGAACTTGTGATCCTCCTGCCTCGAACTCCCAGAATCCTGGGATTCTGAGTGTGTGCCACCATATCAGGCAATACAGACTTTCTTGACTCTCTCCCTCTTTTGAGAGCTGTTTTGTTTCATGCAGAACCCCTTGGATTATGTCTCATTTCTCTCATTTGCTCTGCAGGTCCCTGGAGTGCACTGTACTTTCCCTCACCAACGCTCCTGACCCGGATGCAATCTTGTTCAAGCGCAGGAGTGACCTCTGGGGATTATTCTGGAACATAGCTTCACATTCTGAAAATCTTTTTCTTTTTTTCTTTTTCTTGAGATAAGGTCTTACTATGTAGTTGAGACTGACCTGGAACTCACAATGTAGCCCAGGCTGGTCTCGAACTCACAGCGATCCTCCTGCCTCAGCCTCCTGAGTGCTGGGATTATAGGCGTGCGCTACCATGCCTGGCACATCCTGAAAATCTTAAATGAGGACACACTTACATATCACATAGGGTCCAGAGGAGACTGATCAATACAAGGTGATTGACATTTTGGGGTCTCCAATGGCTTTGTGCCCAGCATACTGTGGCCCTGTGACCACCCCAGCCAGGGTGGGCATGGCCATGCCATTCTCTTCTCAGCAAAGAGGAGATCCTCAGGCCTTGCCAGTAGACCCATGAGTGAGGGGCCTGCTCGGTACCCCTAACAGCAAGCGACATAGCTAGTGGTCAGCAAATGTCACCTCAAGGCCTGGCCATCTCAGGGGGGCCTCTGTACAGGTAGCAGCCGAGGGACACCAGGGCACCGCTTTCCACTGAGACTTCACGTGTGTCTGTAGAAAGGTGTGGCCTGGCCTGGCCAGGGCTGCTTGTGGTTTGGAGAGTCTTCTGCAGAGCTGTTCGAAGGAGCTGGGTACAGGGGCACATGCCTGTAATCCTGGCCCTCCAGAGGCTGAGGCAGGAGGATCACAAGTTCAAGCCCAGCCTGGTAGACTTAGTGACTTAGGGAGACCCTGTTTAAAAAAACATTTTTTTTAAAAGGCTGAAGATATAGCCTGGTGTGAAGGTCCTGGGTTCAACCCACTATTATGAAAAACAAAGCAGCAAAGAAATTGTTCTTATGGGCAAGCGCCCCCATGAGAAATCCTCCCCTTGTCTGGAGGGGTTTATGTCATCCAGCCAGATCTGGAAGATCTAGAATGCACAGAACCTGTGCTGGTCCTGCTCAGAGACCTTGCTGCCTCATGCAGCTGGGAGCCCGGGGTGCAAGTGTCCCTCTTATTTGGTCTGACTTCGATGTCTTGTCTTCTTTTCTCGAGACAGGGTCTCACTCTGTAGCTAAGGCTGGCCTCGAACTCGGGCAATCCTCCTGCCTCAGCTTCCTGAGTGCTGGAATCCCAGGTGTGTGCCACCAAGCCTGGCCACCTATGAAGTTTTCAAGACCCTTAGTTCCGCTCTGTCCCTCAAACCAATGCTTCCTTGTCCTCCAATCTCTGGCTCCCTGGTTTACCACAGGGAGGAGCACAGTCCCCAATTCCAGGCTGTTTCTGGATCCGGGACCTGGATCCTCCTTGGTGGCAGTTCCAGACTTCTTCCCAAACAGATGCCAGTCTTTCCAGGGAGGGAGTGGGGACCTGACTAACGTGGCTGGCATGGCCCAGTTTGTCCAGGATTGTTCTGGTTCTAGCGCTGAGAACTCCACATCCTGAGAATCCTATGGTTCTGGTAAATGGATACTGGTGCCATCTGGTGAGCACTTGCTTTGGTAGGAGGGCGAGCAAGTCCTGGCTGCCTGTGTGGCTGCAACCTCCCATCTTCTTTGCTTTTTCTTTTTTTTTTTTTTTTTTTTTG